ATAGAAGTTAGTTTGTGCATGATCTGACAGTTAAATACGATGCAACTTACCCAAATTATATCCGAGGTTACTAGTCCCGTGCGTCCAGTCCATCACCAGTGTGTCACCCCACTGACAAAAACACTCCTTCTGAGTGGAGGTTTGCAATGTAACGACACAGGTTATATCCATTTGGTCTTGCACCAGGAGAACATCATTACCTTCTTCCGTGACAAAAGTACCCAAACGAGACTTGATTCGTTCCAACGCTGATGATCCCTCCAACAACGCCCGTAGCACATTACGTGTTTGCTGAGGTGTAATAGTAATATCTGCACGTAAACGAAATGTTGTTAAGCTCGATTTAAATTTGAATGTACAGCAATCCTTAAGGCTTACTACGGTCACCCTCCATTACGAAAAACACCCACCTAACTTGTCCGCCAGATAGCGGTTCACAGCAGCAGTACTGGTCTTCACCTCGTTGAGTAGACCGAGTTCTTAACAAACTTTGCGCGGCAAAAGTGACTTCGCACTACGATACGAATCGTACATCAGCTTCGTAGTGGGGTGGTTGGGCATCGATATCTAGAGCAGTAAACAGTTTGAACTACAAATATGCGTAAAAACAGCATCTTACGAACATATGTGTCTTCATCAATACACACTTTCCACGAGCGTTTACTGGTCTCAACTGAGTAGACGGAACGCACAACAAAGCTCACTTCACATCCCGTAAAGCGACAGTCATGTTCACGGCGCCCATGCTCTCGGGGGACCTGAGTTGCAGCATGCGTACACCAAACTCGTTTGAGGCTGTGAGTCAAATAATCAGATATCTTCCTAACACCAGGAAGCTTAAACAACACACAAAGCAACATAGCAGCAGACAACACGCAAACGATACAATGAGACAGCAACATAAACGTCAATCTCGGTATCGTGCACTTCACCTGTTGTGGTTCTTTCTTGTCTCAGAGCTCCGAGTTTGATAGCAAAGGAAGTGCTCGGCTTCGTAATCTTTGAGCACTTACTGATCCCCCCCCACGTGTTGAATACCTTTTGCGGTAGCCCTGGCTTGTCGCTGATGACTGGGTTTAGCGTTTCCACAGTCTTCTTGCGATTATCCGCGGGATTTGGTTTGGCGACGCCAGAGATTATGCGGTCGACTAGCCGGTCCTTCCGTAGATACTCGTACCCGCTTTGTTGGAGGCTCATGATCTATACATATAATCCGGTCGATACATAGCTATCGACTGTTTCTTGTAGTCCATAATCGTCATTAATTTTGGGTTTTTGTAGTCTCAAACTAAAGCATCGGGTAGTCCATTTTGCCTAAAATAAATGTAGGGTATATTAACCCAACCCAAAATAAACTCTATTTTGGTGCAATTCGAAGTTGGTATTTCATAAAACCGCCGCATTACGACAGCCATGCTGAGAAGCAAACTTGCTGCTAAAGTGACATCCCGCCACGAACAGTGTGAGTGGGGTTAAATCACGAGCGGTCGGCGTCATCCTCGAAGAACAATAGTGGCCAGGTGTCTATCAGCTCCGCCACAAGCGCCATCTCTGGTGCTGTAACAGTAAGCTCTGGTGTCAGCAGCTCTGGGATATCTGGTCCGGTGAGGGTACAAGCACTAGTGGCGTCCATCATTACGGCTGGATCCATCGTAACGAAAGGCGAGCAGGTGCCCTCGGGTCAACTCTGGTCGGGTGTTCCCGCCTCGCTAACTTGGGGAGCCCCCCCCCCCCAGGGAGAGAGAAAACCCATTTTCTTGCCAATGTGGTCGCGGCACAATAACCCCCAACTGGGGGAAACTTTATATCGCGCGAAATTCCCCTTAAAAAACCTCCAGAGAGAAAAGAGAGTGGAAATGGGAGGGCTTAAAAAAAACCTGGCGGAAGGGGGGGGAGAATGGTTCGCCCCAAAAGGCGATGAGCGCGAAGACACTGGTCTCTACTTCCGTTACTAGACGGCAAGCATAGTTTCGAGTGCAGAATGGCGAAGAGCGAACAAAAATAATGAAAATGGGCTTAAACGATAGATTGGCTCCGTGGCTTATCATTTATAGGTGGATACTCTCATGCCTACGAGTTGTGAGAGCTCACTCTTCGTCACTCTGTTCTTGCACCGCAACTACATCAAAACATACCGGTAATAAACATCAGTGTACGCAAGCAAGCAAAAACTTGTACCGTTGTCGGGCTTACAGGAGAGCGCAATCAGCTTTAGGAAAAACTCCCGCACTACAGGCTCTTGAAGTGTTGCCGTTATCGCAAAGTCCTTTGGGTTGGCCATGAGCTGCAGCACAACATCGCCACAAACGTGAATTGCACGGCTATTACAAAAACAGCGCTTGCACCAGCCGTACCTGCTGCATGCTGGCCATTAAAATCGGGTCCTGCAACGCCTGCACGTAGTATGAGCCTTAGTTCATGGCGATCATCAGTGACGGCCCAAAGTGAACGCTCGAAAGTAATATCAGCATCTCGGCATCTTCGTCACTGGCTCCAGCAGAGCTGTGAATCTCCAACACCTCTTTTTCATCAGATGCAGGCGGCTGAACTAAGTCTGTGATAGCTTCCAAGGCGCTCGCTCTGTTCTTCTTCACGCTGCTTTGTAAGTTCAAGCACCTCCAGAAAACACTTCAAGGTATTGACGGAATCCTCCTCTTCTGCATGAAAAAGTAGCAGCTCTGGATCCTCGTCATCTATCAACGCATCACGGTAAGCTACCCATCTTGCTTCATCCACAAGTCGCATCCACAACGCGCCATTTTCAAGTGAAGCAGCAGCGAGTACTTGCTCATCCAGAGATCGCTGAGCTGATCATTTGTCGTGTGGCTAGGAGAGCTCGCACTATCACCTGTGTCTTTTTTCTTTGACTGTAAGAAGTCAATTAACTTCTGATAAAACCCTCGCAGCTCGTGGTCACCCAATTGAGATTCGAGGACGTCTGGGCTCAAACTCATGTCTCGTAGCGCCAACACTATCTTCTCGTTTTGCTGCAGCAACTCGCGCATCGTGTCGTCATGCAAAATAGCGTTTACTGCCTGTGCGTCGAGGCCACCATGCGTGCGAGACAATGCGACTGGAGATTACTTGCTAGCTGATTACCGTTTTCTCTTCCTGGGCCTTCGACTTTTTCTTCAGCGCCAACTTCGAGCGAAGCTCGCCCTCGCGTCCATTATACTTCGTTAGCAGCTTCTTGACAGTGTTTTCCCTTGGGGGCCATACCAAGCCAGTACATCATTTGATTAACCCCGCCGTTCACACTTTTTTTAAACATACCGGCATCCCCACATGATCATAAGAAACAACGATTGTTTTTTTGTCGCGGCATCAGATTCTCGATCTTTGAGTAGCAACTCAAGTTTTTCCAGAAGGCTAATTGACTTGAACTTTACCATCGATGAAGAAGAAACACTTTTCTCTGGATTCGGGTAGTCTTCGCTATATAGAAGCGCTGAGCCAATTCAACAAGTTGCTGTCATCACAAGCCACGTTATCCAAAACGTAGATCTCCCTCAACAGACTACTGTCTCTCGCTAGAGCAGTGCTTTTCGAGATTTCAATTGCCGAGTATGATGACGGTGGATTCCTACAAATTTCCACTTGCCGAATTAGACGCTGTGCACGACACTGTGGTTCAACGAGATCCTTGAGCACGACGGAAGGTTGTTTCTTGAAGTTGGGACAAATACAATGAAAGTAGAACGGCATGTTCTTGTCATCATGGCGTGATGGCATTAACGTGAGAGCGAAACTGCCCAACCTCCAGGTAGTCGAGACTCTGCTGAACTAAACGTGCTACTGTTTGTGTTTAAAGGTCTACCCACTTGATTGCTTTCCGCAAGCATTCGACAGAAATGAGGATTAGTCGACGTCTCGAACCCCACCAACAGGCTTGAGTACCGAGTTTTTCTTCACGAAATTAACGTTTCCACGTGTGTGCGGATGTAATTTGTTAGGCATGGCAGTAAATCGAAGATTTCCCTTGTTTAAGACGCGAGGCGGTTCAGGTTATCGAGACGGATTGCGGTCGTAGATGTTGCGTACAAACAATCTGTCCCGTTTTTCCTCTTGCTGCGCGTTCACGTTTTCGTTTTGGTGAAGAATAGTCAGCTCCTCAAGCGAAGCGAAAATTCCAAGAGGATGCTCATTAATAAAAAGAACGTCCTTGTCCTTGTCACGGATAGACGAATACGGTCGGTTATTGTAGGCAGCTGTGACCACTTGTTCTTTCCTACCCAGTGAGTTATGCGAGAGGTCTTCAAAGCCAAATACGTCGACAATCTTCAGCAGTGAAATGCCTGGTGGGATAATCGGGTTGGAGTCCACACGAAGCTCATTCCTATCAGTGCATGAACCTCTCATTTTTGTTACTTTGTTCGTTGCGGTAACGATGTACTCGAGCGCGAGCTGGTATAACAAACGTGCGAGTGTGTCTCGAACATGCTTTACCTGACCCTGCTCCAGAGTCACCTCGAATGCTTCACTCGTCGATTGCAAACTTACACTTCTTGTCGTCATCATTCGTTTCAATTTCTCCACTGATTCCAACTCTACAAGTTCCACCACTCTTTGAGGTGCATTAGGCACCCCCGTACATGCAGAAGACATCAAAAGCTTTCTCGATGTCTCATGATAGTCAAGCTCAATATTTTTTAAGCCACAGAACAGCACTTAGCACTTTAAAAATTGCCTTCTGCTCGTCTGGGGATACGTTCAGCTCATCTAGCCCACCAATAATCTGCTGCCATCTTTCCACATCCTTTTTCCACGTTTCCGCTTCGCTCATAAGCTCTGCCAGCTTGTGGTCGCTGCGACCGAGATCAGTAAACGCGGAGCACTTTACACCATCGAGATGCAACTCCTTCGCTAGCAACCGCATAAAAGGAAAAGGCGTTGACACCGGCCACCATCGCGTACAGTACGTGAAAGTTCAATTCATTCTGGTCTCCAGCTTCACGACCTCTTTCACTCATGACGCTGGATTTTTCTAGTAAAAACGGCGATATGTGACAGCCACAAATCTGAAACTCCCCCCAAAGGCAATTTGCAGAGTTGTCACTTTTCCAAACCTTGACGAATTAAGGTTCATCGACGTGGTAGCATTTCCAAACGCTTCCAGAATAATATTGGATTCCAAAACTCTGCTCAGTTTCTTCGCCGCATGTGGATTCGTACGATACATTAACAATTGTTCTTCATCCTAAAGATGCTCCAACTTGTCGTAAAAGCCAAAGAAAAGGTTGTCCACGTGCACCTGGGGGAGACGCTTACTTCGACTCACTGATGCCATTTCTTCCCAGCGTTCAGGATGCCAATCCAGCAGCACGATTTC